CTGTAGGGTCAGAGGGAAAAGCGGAAAAAAGAGGGAGGCAGCACTCAACGGCGTCAGCCAGGCCCGGTCCCTGACATTCCCACCAGCTGCTGCAGTTCTATACGCGCGACGGATTGTTCTGAGCCTGCCTGCACAGGCTGCTGTCTCCAGAGTTGTTCTTGCATGGGTTTGGAATCTGACTTCGCTGAGGCTGGAATGGCTTTGAGCCTCAATTACTGTCCCTGGACTTAAGAAGAGCAAATGCCCTTTCTATTCAGAGCACCCTCCTCTGAGCCCCCACGGCTATACAAACAGCTCAAAGGGCCATGACACATGAAACCCACCCATGTACATCCCTGTCCAGTGTCAGGGCAGGAAGCTCCAAGAGCAGGGGCTGTGCCTTTATGTCTGTGTCCCCAGCTCAGGGCTAGCATATAACAGTCACTTTGGGTTTGCTGAATAACTCTGCTAAGGTAGATCTGAGGTTTGGAGCTCAAAGCATCTGGATGCAGCTCTAGAGAATCAGGTAGGAACCCAAGCCACACAAGAGCATTTTGGCTCATGTGAACTGAGTCTATAAAGGTATAAGCCTTCCCTGTGTAACTCCTAGAAATGGCCATGAGGTTGGTTCCTGGAGGGCTCCCACAGTGCTTTCGCCCTGGCCCTTTGGGAAGAGGGCGCTGCTCACTAAGAACCCGATCAAGTGTTAAAAGGCACTACAGTCAAACAGAACGAGGTTCAAAGTTGAACTCCCAAGGTTACTGTGTGGCTTTGACTAAGTTCATTATCTCTATTCCTTGGTTTTCGAATCTATAAAATGGGGTAAAAGGAACACCTCTCTCTTTGAAATTTATTGTGAAGATCATGGTTATAATATATATAAAGCCCTTCACACCATATGTGGCATGTGGTAAGTATTTACTATACAGTGGCCATTATATTTTCTTTTGTCTAGTACTGTGTAAGTCACAATTAACCCCACTAGTGGCCTTACAGTGTCCCTGATTCCTGCTACTTTCACCAACCCATAGCAGCAGAAGGAAACCTTGGTGTGAGTAACCCACGAATAAGGTCTGTCTTTGGGCTGCAAATGGTGATTTCTTGTTAGGATCAAGTGGATATGCAAGACAAGATTTTCTCTTGCACACAGCACAAGGAGGCGCCTTGCAGGTGCTTGAAGGCAGGGGAAGCTATCAGCGTAAAAGAAGAGAAGAGAGGGAGACAGATCTCTTGCAGGGAGTAAAGAGAATAGAAGTGGGGAGAAGGCAGGCTAGTCCCTTCAGGAGGAGGATATCTGAGCCCAGAGATGACCTCCCCAGCCCCCACCTCCACCCCCAGGTGGCTGAGACAAAGTCAAAAAACCAAAGAAGGAAAAGCTCTGGTGGTCGTGGCATTTACCTCTGGAGGACTTGCGGCGTGGGGAGTCCCCTTTCTGGAGCTTGCTAGAATGGGAAGGACAGATGTGTGGGTAAGTGCTGCTCCCTCCTTCAAGAGCTGCCCCCACCCACACCAGCACAGAGTGAGTAGGTTACTACAGGCTCTGGCCCAGCACGGGGGCTTGGCCAGGCTTACCTGCAGGATCAGACCTCCTAAGGAGAGAGCAAGAAAGGAACAGTCCTCAACCAAGCTCCCTCTGCATGGAGAGCCCTCTTTTTGCCTAGCAAAGTCTTAATCACCCTCCAAGACCAGCTCTAGGGTCTCTTCCCGCTGTGAGACATTCCCCCTTCCCTGCCACTTCCTTGCCCCAAGCACAGGTGGGTCCTTGTCCTTTGGTGCACCTAGCACTTTTGATAAGTACCTGTCACACTATCTTGCCATTTATTCTCTTGTCTCCCTCTCCCCATGAAGACAGGGAATTGGTATTACTTGTCCCACTATTACCAGTATCTGGAATGTGGGGGGTGCTCAGTAGAGACAGCAACTCTTGGGTGGCTGAGATTTATCCACTCAGAGACTCTTGGGTTGGGTCCCCATCTGTAACATGGGGCTGTCAAGGCCACTGAGGCTAGCTAGGGCCTGGCAGGTCGAGGGGACACAGTGATTCCAGGAGGTCTGGCAGACCCCTTGGAAGGGCAGAGGTCAAGGCCCATAACTAACCAAGGAAGATGGTTAAAAATGTTTTCTAGTGAAAACTAAGATCTTTAGTTTGGGTAAAAAGCCACCATGTGCCTTTTGGGCAAACTGTACCCAGAGCCCAGAACCACAAGGAGAACAGATGTACCCCTAGTGCAGCCATGCAGTAAGCAGGGCAGTAAGGCCTGGCTTCTGGGTGCTCTCAGCTAATGATCTTTATATACAAGGCAACGGCACTATAGGCCCCAGTGATGACACTGGGCTGCTTCTTGGGCTGAGTGCCTCTGCCAATAGTGGGATGCATGTACTGAATCCCTCAGAGGCCTCTGTCTGTTCCAGAGAGGCATGGGTCAGCTAGGGGCTTGGTCTATGGCTCAGGTTAGAGTCAAGTCTATGACCAGTATGGGACTCAGTCTGGGGCTGAGTTAGGACTCAGTTCACTCTATGTGCACAAGAATTAAAGCTGCCATACAATCTCCCTCCAGTTGAGGTGAGCTACCTGGGTGTAAGCGCTTCCTCATGGCTATGATGCAGGCCTGAGGAGGTGGAACGCCACCTCTCCTTGGGTCACTCACCCCCTGTACCCACGGGTGTTGCAGAACTTGGGCAGAGCTCAGACTCTC